GTCATTTAGACGGTGTTCTTTCAGTTATTTTAAGCTCTCTTTGTCATCAGTTAGACGGTGTTCTTTCAGTTATTTTAATCTACCTCTATCGTCATTTAGACGGTGTTCTTTCAGTTATTTTAAGCTCTCTTTGTCATCAGTTAGACGGTGTTCTTTCAGTTATTTTAATCTACCTCTATCGTCATTTAGACGGTGTTCTTTCAGTTATTTTAAGCTATCTCTGTCATCAGTTAGACGGTGTTCTTTCAGTTATTTTAATCTACCTCTATCATCATTTAGACGGTGTTCTTTCAGTTATTTTAATCTACCTCTGTCGTCATTTAGACGGTGTTCTTTCAGTTATTTTAATCTACCTCTATCGTCATTTAGACGGTGTTCTTTCAGTTATTTTGAGTTATCTCTGTTGTCAGTTAGATTATCTTATTTCAGTTATTTCGGATTATTTGTATCACCAGTTAGAATATGTTCTTTCGATTGTCGTGAGCTATATTCTTATCATCAGTTAGTCTAGGTTATTCCCATAATATTGAAGTGCCCGTTCTCTCTATTAGACGAATTTGTTTTATTTGTCTTAAGTTAATTGTCATCACCAATTGAATGTTTTTTCATGTACCTTTGAGTTTCTTGTGTTTTCAAACGAGATTTTTTTCGTGATAATGACATGCATGTGTAGATAGATGCACGAGTTCCATTTTAAACATGTAAGTGTACCTAAAACGTTTACTGCATTTGTCAGGAGATGCAGAATTCCTCCAGTTCTTTAAGTAATTGATAAATGAATATTTGTATTATAGAGGAGCTAATTAAACGAGTTCTGTTTCTTACACTTTTTTCAGGGAGATCTTGAAGATACCTTTGATGTTAACATGTGCAATTTTTTTTTTCAACTGTAGTAAAGTCACAAGGGTACGTGTATTCATTGTTAATGTATTTAATAAAATTTATCGATGGGAAAGTAATAACGTTTTTTTGTTTTGTTTTTTGCCGAACCTTTTATCGATACACTATAAAAGGCTAGAACATGACCAGCAAAGGAGTTTTCTTGGATAATTTTTGCAATTAGTTCTTTTCAATAGAATAATAATAAATAGCAAACAAATAAACTACTTACTGGCGGATGTCTCCGGATCTTAGTTTTAGAACCTATTTTTAGATACTTGCTTTTAATCTAAAGAATGAAACGCTACAATTAATCTAAAGATGTCTTGGTTACGTTGTGAATTATTTGACTGACAAAGTCAACTACATTACTTCTCTCCACCCCTATTCCAAATAGCAAATTCGTTGACGTTAAAATTGTCTTCCAGAACTCAAAATTTCCCCCTCCCACCAATTAACAGGGATGCGATATATTTTTTAGAAATTAAGCAGTGTGAAAAATAGGTTTGAAACAGGTAAGTACGATACTTGTATAGAAAGGCACATTGTGCTAACACAGTAGTAAAATAACAAACAACGATTTCTAAGTATAATGATATTTAATGTAGAAAAAATACAACATGTTTTGGTTGTATCTTGGTGTGAAGAAGTCAGACAGTGAAGCCAAGGTACTGTCGAAATATGTAGTATGTCTTCTACAGTAAGTAACATTGTGCCTACAAATCGTTTTTTGTTGATAACTACGAAGTTTTCGGAGTTTAGGGAAATACAAGTGCTACCTATATTACCATCGTTATAGGTGTAAATAATGTGTCGTTCTAAAGTTAAAGTATACTTCAGCAGGGTCCCCGTAAGTGTTCTGTTTCAAGAGTAAATAAAATTGAAATTAAGAGTAACAAATATTTTTATTTCTTGCTTTTGTTGAAATGCTATGTGATGCTATGTTGTAGCCTACAGAGTACATATTTCTTCTCGTGGTTCATGGCATGCGCACGTTTTACTGACGTTACGACAGTACAAACTGAAATGTTCTTATCGTAACTTATGTGACGTCATTTTAAGTGTCTACTGACTGACTGACAGACGACACACTACTGTGTTACGAGTAGTTAAAACAGGTAATCCCTCCAGGCGGCCATTGGCACCCTTTTTGGAAATGACCGTCATTATAACTTTAAATAATGTGTCGTTCTACGGTTAGGTTCTACTTCATGAATATATCTGATGTTGAGAATCCATAGTACGTTCATACATGTGAGTGGTTTCCATCATTTAGTTTCAAGTTATAGAATGTGGATTGTTGTCATCGCACTGCTGCTGCTTGTTGGTTGGCCAAACCACTTGTGACGTCATTGCAACGCCAGAGCAGAGCGGACTGGTTGCCTGGGGGATGCTTCATTATGAACTTTCTTCAATGTCTGACTGACTGACTGCACGTTAACATTAATTGTGAGCACTAACACAACTCGCTCTCCATCTGATGCTTTACAGTATAAAGCGTACAGGTGTGAAGAGTGAGTCAATCATACAATAGTTTGATCGGTGTGTGAGCCCATGCCAGAAGAGGGTTTGATTCTGATCCCTCCAAAATTTTAGTGCTTAAAGAATATAATGATTATCGAAAAATTTCCATATGTTTAACTACATAACGTTTGTCCGGCTTAGATTGTTATTATTCGCACGGGTTTTTCATCAGTGATCTTTAACAGTCTAATATTATAGTCACTCGCCGAAACTTGCCATAGGAGGAACTTATCTCCTTTTGTTATTATTACCACTAGAGATTATTTTAATTAAAATAAACTGACTACTTGTATGCGTATATATATAACTCTTTAAGAAACATGGTTGTTAACCTAAAGAAACTCCCTCCCATTGCTAACAACACTTCTATCTACAACAACGTTCAACTTCCTAAGGAAAAACCGGAAGGAATAACCAGTCTCCAGGCCAAAATTAATAATACAACAGCAGAGGTAGGTGAGGTAATCCATGTCGGTTTGTTAAGTGTGAGGTAGTGAATAATACATCACAGGTTTTTCATCTAGCTTTGTAAGGTAATGTTTATGTCTGAATCATTGTAGCCTTCCAGTCAAAACGAAGGGAGATAAACAGATAGCTGATAGGACTGTTTCATTAGATTAGAGAAAAAAATATATGTATAAATATCAGGTTAACCTCTCCGGTGATATTTTAAATTCGTTTTTTCAGCTTCTCTCTTAAATCATTTGTTTCACTGTTATATAGTCGTTCTCTAAATTAAAATAAGTGTCACTGAAAACGTGAGAAAATACTTTTGGTAAAATTATGCACTATATATAACATTTTTTGTCGAGTCAAAATGATTTTCCGAGAATAAACAAGGACTGTATGCAAGGGCGCTGGGTCGTTTGCCCTCTCAATAATTTGGCCGTTAAAATTTTTACTTAAACTTCTTTTAATATTTTAGTTACTGAAAGATATTATGCCCCATTAATATTACCTGTTGGTAAGGTATTTTCACTGTTAGATTAGTTGCAAACCAAGCGATGGCGCTTCGGCGCTAAATACTGTGTATAATACACGTTTATAAGTATAATGTATAATACTTGTTTATAAGTACCTAATGAAAATCGCTTCCTTACCTTGATGCATTTTCATTGGTTGGTAATAATCTACAGTTAGAACATTGTAATTTTGCATTGTGCGTGCCATAGTTTATTTTATCGGCGTGTCTATTTACACATGTATAGTAGAGAGTGCATGCACAGTGAAACATTTATTTCAGAAATGTAATAGCGGGCTACTAACACCGGAATAAAGCTACCAAATTGTATGTTGTCGTAGCCGTGTCGTCTACTTTTAAAATTAGTGAAGTTAATTTGTGACCCTGTCTTGGATGTCAAGGCCTTTGGGACTCATTTTGTTATGGTTTCCTGCCCCGCCAATGTAAATTTGCTTCTGGCACCCCTCGTATGCAGTGCGTTAATCATGCATTTAAATACATTTTGAAAGAATAATTACTTACAAAATTAAGGATTTTTATCATTTATCAGGCAGGCCGTAGCAGTGTCTATGTGGAGATGGCTAAGATTGTTCATGGAAATGGTATTTTTAATATTTACTCAATACGTCATCATAACTTCACAATATTATACAGCGTTTCCTTTTATAACAGTATCTATGTAATGACTGAGTCACAAGTTCTAAGAATGTCTGTAATTATCATAGCAAAAAGTTCAAATTTTGTGTTCTTCTTTCTTCTGCTTCTTTTTTATTACACAATAACTAAAAAACCAAAACAATGGTGTCAACCAATTTCACTGAGGCGACATAGTTTCAAACGCAGTATATCAACTCAAAATTAGGGATAGCTAACGCTTAGCCCTTATGTAGCTTTGCACAAATGTCCAAAACACATTAAGTAAAGTGAGCTATGAAATTATATAGGTATGCTATAGAGTAGTTTTACGGAAAAAGGAAAAAATCTGATAAAATAGTATCTTGGGGTTTCCCTATGTAGTGTAATTGATGTCTTATTAGTGGAATTATTAAAAAATGAAAAATATAATTTGTGGATCTTCACTGGGTTAATAAGATGTTTTGTGAAGAAAACCTGACAGACTGTAAACCAAAAGCTGTCAAGATAAACAGTAGTCAGATAATTACAAAGATGTGTTAGATATTAAAAATGAATTGATAATAACTCATCTTTTACTTCACAGTCTCTGGAGTCCACAAGACAAATGCTGATATTATGTGAAGAGGTCAGTATGGATTATAGTTTTTCTGAAGTCTTTGAACTGTTATGTACATTTTTTAAAAGAATTGTGTAAACTTAAAAATATAAATGATGTGTTCTGTTTGTTTGTTGTTGTTTTTATCTTAAGCCTAGTAAATGTTAATTGCCTGTTTGGTAATACTTTTTTGATGTAACATTCATAAAATATGTAAAAAATAAATAATTATAGTACTAGGTGCTTTTATACTTTACAGAAATCCTTTCCATTAATTTGAGTTGCTCTACTTCAATTTTTATTGACTTCTCAAAATTCCTCCAGGCAATGTCTTTATTAGATTGTAGGTAGGGAGATGAAAGTCTTGTAATTCTAATCTTGTGCATTACTTAAGTTGATGAAAATTTCATAAGGCCTGCTGGTAAAAGGTATACTTTTAAGAATCTCTTGAGTAGAATAGTGTTCAAATAGTCAAACCAGTGTTTTATACAACTATTGATAATTATGTTGGTTCTTATTTTAGGGCTTACTCTTTATAATACTTGTATAATTCTTCAGTAATATTTTTTATCATATAGATTCGATAGACTATATATATGTAGGAATGGCTAAAGTACTCAATAAGCATAACACAAATATGCATGCTAAAAAATCAACAATGACAAAGAGTTTTACTTTAAAAGATGATCATCAGTCACTTTCATTTGTTTCTCTACCAAACAAGCCCCAAAACAAAGCAAGAAACCATTGCTAAGTTACTAAACCAGAGAGTTACCAACCCACCAAATTGTTCATCTTTCTTCTTCTTGTTTCAGTTGAGATAACTCTACAACTGCTTTATCACTAACTTCAGTTTAAACCTAAATCCACTTTATGTGTTTGTGGGCAGTGCATGATGTCATTGATTAGTCATAATAGCTGGTAGTCATTTAAAAAATATATATAATTCTGGTGTAAATGATGTAATCATCAACTTTTGAAGTTAGCTTTCTCACAGAAATTTAGCATTCTTTTAAAAAGTTTAAGTACAGGTTGTAATGGGAACTGCTAGCTAACAATAAATGAACTTTGGATGACTGTAATATATAGAATACTTAATGCTTTTTACATTATACAATCGATGTCTTTAGGGAGTCAACCCCTATATTATGTATGAAGTGAAAGAGTAAAAAATACATCAGTACATGTAGGGATGATCTTTTGATAGCTGTATCATCTCCTTATTGTTGTTTGCATTCTTTTTTGGCATTGCATCCATACATCATTTTCCATTTACAAAATGTTTTTGTTACTCGTGCCAAGAAGAATAACATTACTGTTTCTGTTATTGCTCATGGAATGAGATCTTCTCTAACCCTGTTACTGAAGACAGTTTTGTATATGATACTGAAAGAGAACTTCTTGTTCTTAGTCTGTTGCTAATACCCTGTTACTGAAGACAGTTTTGTATATGATACTGAAAGAGAACTTGTCCTTCGTCTGTTCTTATTAGCTTTGTTTTGCTGGTATTGTAGTAAATCCTAATTGCTGTACAATTAAAATTTATTTCAGTTTTGTTAACTCACTTTAATATGACTATCTATGGCATTGTGCCTAAAACACTACAGAAAAAATATTACATTACATTAATTAGCACTTTTTAGTCATTTTCAACAGTTTTTTCTTTTTTTTTAATTAAATAGTCAAGTATGTGAGTGAGTGACTGTAGTTCTGGGTTGACAGACAATTTATATGATTGATTTCTTTATGTCCTGTTGTGATGAACTCCCAATCTATAAGACTGCAAGAACAGTTAATATATCTAAATATGCTAACAGATATCTCCCTCATTGTTCTTACTTGAAATATTTCAGTAGCTTTGCTAATGCGTGGGTTAAGCAATGACTGAGGCTTTTATTTTGGGAATCAATCAATTTCTGTTTGCTTTCACTCAGGGCATTGAAACTAATTTTTTTTTGTCCACTGCCAGGTGTTACTTTTAAAACTACTAGCAAAAGTGCCGACCACATTGTAAAAAAAAAATACATCTATTTTAAGACCAACATTACCATATATTTACAATGTTTGTTTCAGTGACCTGGGAGGTTCCTATTTTTTGTTTTTAAAAGCTGTTGATAGTGATCCTCATAATCTAGTCAGTGGTGTTAGTGTCCAGGCTGCAGCACCATTCATTTTTTATTCTCTTCATGATGTTAAAGCCCTTCTCACGGCATACAGTAGATAGGGAGTAAAATTCTCTGTACTGGACATTCATTGTATCCTCACCATCACCCAGATGTAATTTAAGGAAGTGATGATGGAGAGAGGGTTAGATAAAGTATTAACTACTTGTTAGTGTAATTAGTAGGTCCCTATTTTAAGTTTAGAAAAATATACTTACAGCAAATTTCTGATATTTAAAATTTCATCTTTGTTAGAAGAGATTTCTAGAGATGAAGAGAAGGTTTGTATTTGTAATGTGGTACCAGTAACAAATGTATTCTAAACATCAGCAATTTTAATAGTTTAAAAATATATTTTTGCCATCTATTATACTAATTTGGTCTGGATATCACTGGCTTTATATGTTACTAGCCTATTTACAATTTTCCATTTTTCAAATGGAAACATGATTTTATTCCTTTTAATGCTTCAAACCTCAGAGCAAAGAGGCAGGGATTCGAACACTAGTGGCCCTTGATGATCAAGGAGGTAAGAATTAGCCATTAGTGGCATTAATTTTTTACCCCTTCCCAATAAATAAAATTTATTTTTTTGACTTTTAATTTTAACTACAATTGCTTAAAGTAATTTATATATTTCTTTGTGTGTGATTGTGTGTGTGTGTATTTTTCCATTTACAAAAAAAAGAAACACCACATTCCATATTTTGTTTTTTTTCCTTCCCTTCCCAAAATTTTAAGATCTTTTGAACAGAACATCAACTTGTCTTAGTTGTTCCACTATTAAAAATTGTGACCTTATCCCTTTTAATTTTGTATTATTCACAGTAGCAGCATCAGCTCAGCTTGGTATGATATCCTTGTTATACTAGAAAATCTAGTCATTAAACACAGTGCTTTTAGTGCATCAAAGTTGCTTGGTTGGTGTATATAATTCAGTTATAATGCTCGAGTTTTTCAGATAGAATGAAGGAAAACGGGTGGTTACTAATTAATGTGACTTCCTGTACCAAATAAACAACTAATTTTGAAGAGTTTTGGAATGGAACATCCTGAGACTTTTTCTTTTTATTATTAATTTCCCAGCTTGTTTAAAAATATTTTTGTTTGACCGTCTTTTGTTTCTTTTTTGCTTTATGTAGAGTCAAGATGTAGGAATAAAAACATTGGTTATGTTGGATGAGCAAGGGGGTAAGGCTTTATTTTTAAAATGGAATTACTTACATTTGAAATATATTTTTTTTAATCCTTTGCTTATCATTTTGTTTTGTCACCTATGTAGATGCCAGATTTTGTACAGAGACCAGTTAACTGCTCTTTAACCACAAAAAAAAAAGAAATATTGAATTGAAATTTTTAAAAATATAATAACTCTTTTATGTTATTTGTCATCATAATAGTTTCTTGGTGTTAAGTTTTAGCATTTTTTTACATAAATGTTTTTCAAAACTTATAATTCTGTGGCATGAAGGCTTGTTTTTTTTTTGGTTTGTTCAAAATTATTGAAAAACCGTGGCTATGGGTGTATTGAGCTCCACTTTCAGTTTTCAGCTAGACCAAGTGGCAGCAGAGAGTTAATCTGATATCTGTAACCTGTTTGTTTTCTTATTTCTTATATTTTGCCAAAGTGCTTCATCTTTGTGGTTATAGATTAAGAATATTATAGAAAAAAACTGACAAAATTTTATCACATTAACTTTTTTGTATCTTTTAACATAATTACCTGCGCTGTTGCTAAGTTATGAAAACACATTCCTGCCTACTTTATTGCATTATTTTGTAAACTTTCCATCTTTTGACAGTTGTCACATTTCTGTATAGCATGTCTGATAACAATATTTTAAGTTTGTTTCCTTGCATGTATTATAGTTAGTGTATTGAATAGCTAATGTCCATACGTTTTCTTTTTGCTATTACTAATCATACAAAATATAAATATGTAAAGTTTTTAAAGCTTAAAACAATTTCACATATAACTTGACAGTTCTCTGTATCTTTTGATACTTTTTTAAGCATATAAACATCTTTGTTACAAATGTTTATTTGTAAATCTCTTTTTCTCACTATGTTAATATCTGTAACTTTCTGAAATATTTGTGTATGGATAACATTTCTTCATCTTAAGTGTTTTTCAAGTTATTTGAAATATTTTGTATATTCAAGCAAACTGTAATTTTAACAAGCAATTTGAGTACTGTGAACAGTACTTTTAACTGATCAAGATTTGTGATCGTATACATTAGGCTCCAACCACAATTTTTGTTTTCTATGTTCACATGTAGAGAAATATAACTGCTGTTTTATAGTAAGTATGAGATACTTAACTATTATTTGTAGTTACAAACCATATTGATATTTGTTGTCTTCATTAGCTACATTTAGAAAATTATTGGAAAAAGGTACTTGGTTGTTTCATAAAATTATAAGCAGAGGGGGGGTTTTCAGTGTACATGATTAGGTGATTTTTATTGCATACAAGATTCACAAATTGTTAGGAAATTAAATGTTACCAAAAATTTAGAAAAATATTCTAGAAAGTGACTATCTCAATTATGCTACTTTGTTTATACTTAAGTTGTTTATTGTCCTGACTTAAATCAGGTCCAAAATTAAAAATTGGTAATTTATACTTTTATTAAACTGGTCTAAATAAATTAAATCTTGATTTCTGGGTATATATATATACACACACACATCTCATTAATTGCATGTACTTGAACATACAAATTCAAGCATATCAGTAAAACAATTTAAAGAATGTTGCAAGGTAATTCTTTTTGTTGTAATAATGTACTGGATGTAACTTTAACATAAAGAGGAACAAAAAATGCTGTAAATGTAGGAAATCTAAAGTGTTTTTTAATCGCTTGGATTTTTTTATTTCCTTTGTATATCAGTACTTCTGTAAAAGTTGTAATGATATTTTTCAAAGTACGTATCTTCTCAATTGCACAGAAAGCTGCATATTACATACACTTGTGAAAAACATTCATATCAAGAGGAAATTGTATGGTCATTAAGATTGTTTGCATCATTTGCCAGTAAAAACTTTTAATTCCAATATGATACATAATCCCTCTCACCTAACAGCATTTATCATCTACTGCCCTCTAATGCATTGAAAAGAAATTTTTCTCACTTGATGCACTAGCCTTTATACTTCCTAAGTTTGAGCTGCTCATTTAGCGTGCATAGAGCATGTGACAACCCTCTACCAATAGGAGCACAACACCCTCTTAGAGTAGCTGGCTCCCTCTGTATTATTTTATGTGTATCTCTCTTCCTTGATTGGCACACTACAAGTCAGACGTGTTTCTCACTTGCTTTCAGTTTTCAATATATTGTGTTATTTGTATTTTGATACAGCCAAACTAATTTTAAGTTTGCTTAGATAATTATTGCATTTTCAAGTGTCTGGATCTGTCATTTTCCACTCTTTTTGTGAATTATAAATTCACGATTTACTGGGACTATCACTGTGGTTCAAACAGTCTGGTTACCCAGACCTCGGGATCGATGTTGTCTGCCAAGGAGATGCAAGCCTTGGTTCATGGGGAGTTAGCTTCTTACATGGGTTTGGGCCTTCTTCCCCACATGGGTTGGTGCCACTTCCAGCTGATGAGCATATTCAGGATGAGGATGATTTATACATCATATTTCCTACTCCTTCATTTGCCGTGCCTCCAGTTCAGGCACCTTTCGAGGGGTCTCACCCTTCTACTCCTTTCCTCCCATAATTACACAGGTTTGTCACATTTTGAAGGTTTCTCCTGTTCCCTATGATGCCTCACCTTCCCTTTTGTGTGAGCTCCCTAATTCATACTATTTAGTATTTCTTTCTTCATCAGACATTTAAATTCATGCTCAGCAGTTTTTTTTTCGGGTAAGTTCAAGGGGTTCGTATGCCTCGACCTCTTCGAGTATGGCATTTCATTACTCATTGAATCCTTATTTGGATTCACTAAGGTTGAATCTACTTTTACTTCTCAGGGGTTTGAATCCTGAGGCTTTTGTCTCATTTTTGCAGGCACAATTTTCAATGGATTTGTCTTACCCTTACTAATATTTTGTGTTACCTCTCTTCTATGTCCTTTTTGTCAGAGGCTTTTCGTCATTCTCCTGATGAATTTTTGAGGGACCTCAGATCCCTACTGTGGTCGATGTTGACCAGACTATCTTCATCATCCCTTTCCATACTTACCTGGCTGTTTTGTAGTTGGGATCTGTTGGGGAGAGATGCACTGCTTGCGGAGGTGCATATCCCCATCTTCCCTCAGGGACTTATGAATAGTTCTGTTTCTGTGACATGGTATTTTGGGGCTGTCCTGATTCTTTGGAACCCTATGTTGATATGGCCAGGTTGCATAATTCCCTCTTGTCCCCTGCTAATTATTTATCACATAATTTTACCTACTTGTCTATTAAACATATTGTTGTTTCCCATCCTTCTCCTTCCATGTCTCGACCTTTACCTGCAGCTCGACATTCTCACCCTTATCCTTGTTTTTCTCATTCTTGTCACAAATGTTGTCAGTGGTATTGGTGGCTACACGATGAGGTCAGGTCCTATGGGAGCCAGGTTTCAACGTTTTGTCAACATTTAGGAAACCTTCACTACTGATTCATGAGTTCTGTGGGTTTTGTCAGAGGGTCTCACTCACTAGTTCCAGTTGCCACCTCCTATTTCCTTGTCTCCCATTCCTGTCCCACCTCCAAGGGATTCAGTGTTTGTCTGTCTGAGGCAGTGAGCGACCTCCTTCCCAAACACGCCATAGACCTCGTGTTTCCTGATCAGCCAAGGTTTTACTCTTGACTTTTTGTTTTCCCCAAGAAAACTGAAGATTGGAGACCAGTCATTGCCATCTTTTGTCTCAATCAGTTTCTGACCCTTTGTTGGGTTTTTGTTCCTTATCTGTGGATGACCAACTTTGATGTAGTGGATGCATACCTTCACATTTCCATCTCTCCTTCCTCACATCGTTTTCTTTGGTTTTTCCATGAGGGTGTGTTTTCCTGTGATGGGTTCTTCTGTTTTGGCTTGCCTAGGCCCCTTATTGTCTTGTTGGATAGTCAGTCTTCACTCACCATCTACGTTCATTGGAACTCCAGTCTCATCATTGCATTGATGTTTGGCTTCTTCTGGCTCCTTCCTGTTTTGTGTCTGCCACCCTCACCCATTTACTCTTGGAGGAGGTGACACATGTGGGTTGGTTAATCAAAATGGAGAAGTCCATCCTTTCTCCTACCTAGAACCTGCTTCACTTGGGAGTTTTCTTCAATTCCCAACTTAGTCTGGCTCAGCCTTCTCCACATCATATTTGGAATATGGAGCAGTTGATCATTGTCATGATATAAAAGACTGTTTAGTGTAGATAGTATTAATTTATTTATTTTGTGAGTTAATATTTTACGATTGTTTAGTGTGTTTTTTTATAACAAGAGAGTTAAATGCAGACAATTGTTGGAAGTTGTATTTATAATCCATCGATGTTGAGACTATCAAATGTCACGTGAAATACACTGACATCGAGAATAGATTTCTAGAAGGTGGGCGGATGATTAAGTGATAAATATATAAATAGTATGAGATGAACGGAAACAGCAGACAGAGCAGAGGAGAAAGAAAAGTTATAGAAAGTTGAAGTGTGGCTAAAGAAAATATTAGAAAATGTAAGGTAAACCATTGTAGGAGTGAATAGCCTAACATTTGATATGTGAAAGTGAGATTAACAGTCTTCTGACATTTCAGGAGAATAATTTGTCTTGTCAAAGGGTGTTATAAACAATTGAACCTCCCTGTGTGAACTTTGACCAAAAATAGACGATTATTGAAAGTAGGCCTAAATAGGAAAAAGCAGATGAGTATTGGAAGTTCAGGATACAACTGCAGTAACTCAGTGAGGCAGAGTTAGTGAATTTTACATGGAATACTAGTGTGATAGAAATAGAGAAAGGTAGTTCAGTTTGTCAACTGAAATTCTAAAGTATTTGAATAGGCCTAAATGGACTTTTGACAAGAAGAGAACCATGCAATGTTTATTATATCCCTATAGTTTAAAGAATTTGTTGTTCATACGTTAAATTAGTTCCAAATATATCTATTATTTTGAAAACAAGTGGCATGTTTGCTGTTTATTTATGATTCAATAAATTCAGACACCTACTGTAGAAGAATTCTAAGCCCAAAAAACAACAACACAGTATGTATTTTTACTATTAAGAAATATAAGTAAAAGCCTTTAATTGGCAATTGGTGAACATAACATCTGACAGTTGTCAACGCACTTTTGTTTCTCATTACATGCACCATCTGGCTGTATCCTTCTTTAGTTGATATTGTCTACCTCCTCTGGTGATTCTACATGCACTAGTTTGACTCTAACTTGGATGTCTTTTCCTATTTTGTTTTATTCCATTGACCTCCTTTTTCTTCGATAACTATTCAGATCCCACATAGTGTTGCCTGGTCAGGTATGCTTTCCCCTAAACCCACACTAGATACCTTTACAGTTATACTGCATACTATTGAGACGGGGTGTTCCACAAGATCTCTAGTGGCTTACCTAGTGCTATTTTTTATTTTTTTCTCTATATGTAGTATTCTGTTAAGTACTTGGTGGACCATCACTCATGGACTATCATGTGTACAACACATTTTATTCCTCCTTTCATCAAGTGAAGTTTTGGAATCCTTGCCACTTTCTGGTGCCTAGCTGCTTGGGTGGTAGACTATGGAGGCTTCCTCATGAGTGTTGACCACATGTCATAACATTACATATTGCAACACTCAGTTGAGAAGAAGGCGAAGCTGGGAACTCTACCTCTTTCTCCTTCTTGGACTTTTGTTCCCAGAGGTGCTAATGTAGATGGAAGCTGGACCAGCCAATGCTGGATCCTCCTTGGGTTTGGTTTGATGTACTTCCTGTCTCCTATCATTTTATAATTTTCTTACACTGGAAATAGATTTTCAATAGATACTTACCTCCTCTCACATACTTCCTGCCCTTCCTCCCCACTTCTGGTGTTCTTGTGTGCCTAATCTCAAAAGTGAGGTACACATAGAATAATAAAGAAAGAGCCAACTCCTCTAGGAGGATGTGTCATGCTTCTGTTGGTGTAGGGTTGTTGCATGCTAAATGAGCAGCTCAAACTTGTGTGGTATAAAGTCTAGTGCTTAAAGTGAGAAAAAATTTTTTCAATGCATAGAAGATTGAGAAAGGCTGTTACATGGAAGTAAGTAAGTAACTATTGGAAACCTATTTTCAATTAAAGAAAATGATAACATTCCATAATTCCAGATCAAGGGATTACAGTTGCAAATATCACTGGTGGCAAGGGTAACCAACTGATTAATCAGCTGTAGCCATTACTGGATTGGTTTTTAGTGCTGATATATATAGGTAGCTTGCTTTGATTAGAAGTTAATGAAAATCTGTAGAGTTCTCTGCCAATTTAATCTGGTGATCTTTAAAATCATTTATATTGTATAATAGTGAAGGAAAAGTCTTGTGTAGTTTGTATGATGCAGGGATAGAAATAATGAATTAAAATTCCATTCCATTCAAGGGAAAACTATCCGGAAGATTACATTCCTTCGTGTAAAATTGCACTTCCTTATGAATTTTTTTTTATTTAATCCATGGAATATGTTCACTTTCATTGGTTATAACTAAAGGAATATGGATTGACCATGCATTCCTGATCGGGAAAGCCAACTAAAAAGATGAAATTACATAGGAATGCAATATTTTGATTCCTGATGATGATTATTGGCCTATGATTAATGATATTTTTTATTGATAGGTTCCAAGGTTTTTCTTGTTCACTTTTTTGTATCTCATTTTGTTCCCACTTTCTTTCTAACAGTAATTTTGCAATTGATGTAATGTGAATTGCATGTAATTTCAACCATTCTTCCTGCTATTACAGAATCATTTTTATTTTATTTGTCAAACAATATCTTGATATCTCTTTTGTCATTTTAAAAGTCTGTATATTGCTCAGCAACCTTTTGTTTTTTTTTAATTCTCTAAATCCAAAAACATACAATAAAGTTTACTAACTGCAAAATTATTGACTGAAGAGGAAATTGAAGAACTGGCTATAATACAAAAACTTCTTGGAAAGAAACATTAACTAGTCTTCAACTGTTACATAAGAACTAAAATTGGAACCTTTATATTTCACTACCACAGCACATTTAAACACACCAATCAGATATATTGAATTACTGGCAAATTATGCAAAAGAGTTCTCCATCACAATGATGTCTACAAATTTCAATCTTGAAATTGCTCATCAATCTAATAATAAAGCACAAACTATCTCAAATTTGTTCAGTTATCAAATTCTCTTGGGCAAGTTCTTTGTACATATGTTAGTAAACAAAAGAAGTGATTATATCATACATGGGAAAAAGAATATAAAAAAAATACATATTCTGTGTGAAGTGTTTTAATAGAATTAATATAAATATATAGACATTGGTAATAAAATGTAATAAAAGCTAAATTCTGGAATCCTTATTACTAATCATAATTTAAAAAAGTACAATTTTATGCAAGGATTTATATTTTATGTTAAATGTATGTGATATTTCTCTCCTATATGAAGCATAAAGAAAAATGGCAGTGCTTTACTTTTGAACAAATAACTCATTAGAAAACAGTTAAGTTCAAGGAAAATTCAAAAATTTTTTTCAATCCTGTTGTATACTTTTAATGAGGAATACATCCTCTCAATACTTATCTTTGTTAACTAATTCTTCAAAGCAAACTTTTTAATCAGCTGCTTACAAATCTAAATAACATAAGCATTTTAAGATAAATATAGTTGCATTTTCTGTACTTTAAATAATTATTCACTATAATTTTATCTTTTATTAATTGTTAGTTATGGTTTATTTAATTGCAAGATGTACAGTTGCATTGTTACGATTAGCTAATGGTGTTCACACAAAGTTGATCGATAATATTTATTAAGATGAGTTAAGAAATGATAATTATCTATATATGGTAAGCACATTTTTATTATTGTGTTTGCATATCTATGAGCTGTATTTTCTTTCCAACCTATGAGTATCATATGAATTTGAGAAATTGAAAGAAGTATGTTGCTTAATTATGTAGAACTTTCTGTGGTATTTAAGAGTTTTTAACCCATATTTTCACCAAACCAGAACAACTTGACAGAGTTGAGGAGGACATGGACAAGATCAATGCAGATATGAAAGAAGCTGAAAAAAATCTAACAGGAATGGACAAATTTTGTGGTCTCTGTATTTGCCCTTGTAATAAGTAAGTATTGTACATGGAAGTTATTTAACACTTGTTGATAGTAGGGAGAAAAAAATTGTGAAGGAAGTACAACTTGTAAACAACTATAATTTGATCAAAAACTTTTTAAAAATTAGGTAAAATATCAGAGAAATATTATTGGAGTTTTTTGGATGTTGAGAATTAAGAGATAAGGATTCCACTGGATGATTAAATTTGGTATTGTGATCAGCTTTACAGTGAAAAAAGTTTTTTAAGTACTTAAAACTGCAATCGTACATTGCCTGGAAATGGCTCTATCTTATGAGATGAAATGTCAAAATTTTAATTGGCTACAAAACATTTTCACTGTCAAGCTGATCACAAGATTAAGTTTTTGAATGTTGATTTAAATAGTTTCATGTGTTTTGGTCCAGGTTACTGAGAAAACATGTTTTGTTGACTTCTGTTTTAACAAGTCATTTGCAATGTAATAAAAAGTGAAGCAGCTGTAGTAGGATACTAGAGAATAATGTGTTGGTGATGTTTCTACTTGTTAGAGAAATTGTAAGAATAAGCTTTGTTTTATGCTAAATAGCTGGCTAGGATTAGTATTTGTGATCTAGTTGCTATAGTTTGGATTGTTTTTAAGACAATTATATACATACACGTACAAAAAATATCTAATATCTCATTGTAAGTAATTTTATCATGTGATGTGGAATATAAGTAACAAAGTTTAGTTGTAATTATTTGGAAAAGGATAAAATTATTAGTTCAGAAACACTACTCATGTTTCTACAGAATAAATAGCTAATATCACATACCACTGCCTTAACTTCTCTAGTTATGATGAAATCAGAATTATACCATATCCTTCCACCAATAGGAGGTTAACACAACCTTCATGTGCTGTACTTCCCTTGAACTCTTTATATATACCAAAAGCTCATTCTTTTCCTAGACACTGCAGTGTTCAATTGTGTTATATTTCTTACCTTCAATTTTGTTGATTTTGATTAAAAAATGCACATTTTTAAAATTGCTTTCAATTAGAACTTCTGATGTGCATTTATTATCTTTTTTTATGTTACTATGATTTCTTCTCCTACTCAAACTACAATATTTTGGAACACATGTTCCAGAGTCTGTGACATTGGTTTCTTTGATAAAAATGTTTCCCATTGTCATTTGGGAGAGTGTTTAGGTTTCAGTAGAAGCTAATATTTAATCTGTTTTTATCATATGAAAATTATCAAGGCCTGAATACTACAAACATGCCAAGAGTTGGCAGATAGTGCTGTTGATTAGTTGCCTTCCCTCTAGTCTATCAATTCAAAATTTGGGGCAGCTAGTGCAGATAACCTTTGTATAGCTTTGCACAAATTTTAGAAACAATTTTTTTATGCAATATCATTCTAAGTATTATATGACAAACCACATGTCCTCTTATTACTTGTATATTTTAACATACATTTTAATGAATGTATATTTGTTCTTTTGGTAAAAATGTGGGTAAACTTGTATTATTAAAATAGAGTCAACAAGTTTCGGGAAGATTCTGGCACTTGGAAAGGTAATGAAGATGGAAAGGTTGTAAGCAACCAACCAGCACGTATAATGGACAATAGAAATGGAACCGGTCCCACTGGAAACTATATAACAAAGTAAGTAGAGCCATTTGTATAGACAGTTTTATTTTTTAGCATGTTTGATTTTACATACAGATGTTACCACTTTTAATAGTTGGATCATCAAGAAACAATCCAAAGTAATATTTATCATTTTCAGGTTAGAAGGTAGATTTTGCATTTAATTACATTGTTGCATAGTTTTATACTGTAAAAAGTGTAAAGTTCCTGAATAACTTGCCAATAGTTAACATATTTGTTTGCACTAAAGCTGACAAGTAGTTGTATTACTTAATTTTGGATGCATCTTGCATATTGAACAATGTCAAACCTCCCAGATTTCTCGCATTAATTACTCCAGAAATCAGTGAAGATAAGTTCCTTTAATATTTCAGTTACTGCTTGCACCAGCTTAATAACAAGCATCACCTTGTTTTGTGATGATAATAAAGGTAAAATGTGAGCATTCATCATAATAGTACAACACATTAAGTATGAAGACTTTTCAAGCCCACGGTTGTTCTTTTCCTTTGTACGTGTTTTTCTTGAACAGCTACACCTACACTTTGTCAAGAGTTAGTTTCCTAGCTCCTCTTCTGTCAATAATATAATTATTAGTTATTATATATGAATATTTAAAAAATATTTACATATCAGAGAAAAAATAAAGGAACAACTAGGTTTTCAAGGAAATCTGCATTATTTTTTATTGTCATGACAAAGAATTAACTAATAGCCAACGTGATGAGACTGTTAAAAGAAACTTTGGCCAGATTTGGCTTTTATTTTAAAGAACTGTAAATCCAGTATGACTATTGTAATTACTCTGAAATAATATGTTAATCCCAGTTAGATTTTAATTCCATATGTGCAGTTTAAGTTAATTTGATACTTAGCACATTCCTTGCAATTATGTATATTTAGGCATTGTATTCTGCATGTTGATTGTTAATTTTATTAACATTCTTCTTTTCCTCTTGCATAGGTACAAATTTTAGGCTTAATACTGTCAATGAGGAACTCAGCATAGAAATTTTGACTAATAAGGCCAGGAGAGTCAGAAATAAACTTTTAAAAAAATCATGTCAACACTTAGAGTAGTGCAAAAGCATACATTTTATCAACTAATTATAGTCAGAAATAATATTTAGGGTAAAGGTAGTCCTGTTTTCTGTATTTTAAAGGATTTTTTACTGTAACATCTATTGTGTTTATTGTTTGTCAAGTATTATGGCTCATTTATGTTAGTGCATATGTGTGCAATGAATAATGATATGACTGATACATCAAGACCTCATTAGTCCAAACATCAATAGCCTAGATTATTTATAGTCTGGATGATATTTCATATAGAAATATCTTCACAATGGGAAGTTTCATCAATAATTGGTATATTCTGATTCCAATTCTAAACAGCTATTTCTTATGAGAAACATGCATTTGTTGTTAATAATGATTTAGTAATCCTTATATGACTCCATAAAAGTCAAGTAAGGGTCAGTCAGAACAGGAAATGAAATGATAATTACCAACCAGAAACACGTGCACTCATAGTGGTTTCAGTTTATGACAATATTTCTGAGAAAGACCTTCACAGTAGGAGATGTTTGCATAAATTATAACAGATACTAAAAGATCATCAGGGTGATTTATAATACAGTCGTGTCAATTCGTAGTGCTCCGAAATGAAGACTCAGAAAGATCAACAGTATTAAAGTATATTTATTTATACAAGAAAGCAAATCCTAGTGTAAGACAATGATACCATGTAAAGATTGCGACATATTAATGCCACTTTCATGTATTATTTTGTTTGTATAATTATTGACAATGTGTATGATAATTGATACATTTATTGTATATACAGTTTCTGTTTGGTTATGCCCACCATTTCTAGTTTTCACTTTTACATTTTACTGATTGATAATACTTGTTATTAATAGAATGTCTGTAGTATTCACAGTGACTGATTTGACCATCTGGATGTCTCAATAATATGGAAAGACTACTTCATTAGAAATGTGTTTGGATTAATGAAGTTTCACTGTATACATGTTAACCTTTCCAATAAGAAAAAAATATAAGATCTTAAAATCTCCTAAAGTCTAAGCATCGTGTTTTCCAGAAAAATAAAACTAACACTTTGGTTTAGTGTAAAATAGAAGTGATTAAATTCAAAAGAAACACTTTTTTTTCATAATTATTTTATATTGCTGATATGGAAATTTCAATAATGACAATCAAATTTTTATTGTTTGTAATCCTTTTTTTCCCCTAGAATTACAAATGATGCTCATGAAGAGGAAATGGAGGAAAACATGCAACAGGTAGGCACAATAGTTGGAAATCTTCGAAACATGGCTATTGACATGGGAAGTGAAATTGACTCCCAGAACCGTCAGTTAACCAGAATCAATCAAAAGGTATGTCTGCATGATGTAAATCCATTTTTATAGGTCATTGTAAGCAGCACATTTTAACAACCACTGAATTAGCTACCAGGGTTGATATTTTGTCAGTGTGTTGTCTTTTTTTTTCCCAGTATGCTCCAAATGCAAGGCTCCAGTTTTGTGTGGAAAAGAAAAAAAAATTTAAATATGTGGCTAAGTATTTGAAAATATACACCAAAAAATTGTTGATTATGCAGGAAAAAGTAAGCAAGTCTTACCTAAAAGAAAAATAGCTTAAAAAAATAACATTTAAGAGTATATATATAATGCAATTACACCACAAACTGCAATTAAACATTTTTTATGAAGTAACAAAAAAATGCCCTTTTGGACTATAGAAATCTTTTGACAGGCCATTAATCAGACTGTTTGGCCATGAGGAACCACTTGTCAAGTGACAAGAAACAAGCTAAATCAAAACTTATTAACCAGTAACACTGAACTAGACTTTACTTAGTCTAGAAATTCAGACTGCGGTTATGTAGTCAACCACTGATTTTGTGGTCATATGTAATACATGTTGCAGTCTTTTTTGAATTTTCTGTACTTAGAGACAGGTGGTGTGTAAACTAGACTAGTTGCAGTTGTGTAAGCAGTAAACAAACATTTGCCATCACATACTCTTAAAACTAAAATTTGCAAATTTTCAACATTGTAACTGCAATTATAAATGAAATAAGAAGTATTTCTTTTATACATTAAAACTATTTATATGAACCACTTAGTTAATAAAAAAGTATAATTATGAAAAACTCTGAAGCTTTTTATGCTTTAAGCACTTCCTATGTATTTTACTCGCCGTCTGATTATAAATATTTAAAAAAGTTTATTATCCTGTGTATATGTTTTAGTTTTTGAGAATATTTGTAAAATAATCTCAATAAGTCTGAAATCTATACATAGCAGATATTATGTATTAAAAATAAACTAAGACTTTATAATAACAGTGCATTTTGAAATATCATAGTAATTAAATTATTTTGGGGGGAGACTCTTTAGATACAAGGAAAAAAATTCTTTTAGATATATTTATCATTCAAAAATGCAGTTGCTGTATGATTGGATGTTAATGTTTGTTTCATTGAAGTGATTTGAAAGAGGTAGTATGAGTCAAGTATTTGGAAGAGAGTATGTCCCTGCTTGTTAAACTTTTTTCTTCCATACATATGAATATTTTGCTATTTTTTTCTGCATTTGAGAAAGCATGATTGATTTTTCAGTTCATTGTTGAGTAGTTGTTGGTTTTTTTTCAGTTCCTGTATTAATTGTAATATGTTTCATGTATGTAGTGTTTTCTAACAAGTTTATTTTACATTTGCTATAGTACAACTATGGTTTGTGCATGTTAATTCTGGCATCTTATATCTTTCTTTTCTTTCTCATTTTTGCCTTTACATGCCCAATGAATTTATTTATTAAAAACAGCTGCAGAAATTTCTCCTTCTGAAATATATGAAGTGTTTTTTTTTATAAGCTATTTTATTGTCCATTAAGTTTGAATAGGTTTTGTTTTTAGTTGCATCCATCCATTTTTTGTGTTTATTCTCCCAAAATTCTACAGGCAGAATCAAATGAAATGCGTATTGAAGGTGCTAACAAGAAAGCTCATAAGCTGATGAAGTGATGATTTTCCCAAATTCTGTATCACATTCCAGGCACAGTCAAACGAATCACGGATAACCATTGCTAACCAGAAAGCCACAAAGCTCCTCAAGGATTAAAAGAGAGAAACTCAAGACTGTGGATGTGAAAATTTCTTCTGTGTTTGAAGCTACTGCAGTTTGTGTAAATCCTCGCTTGTTTTAAAAAAAGGCAGTGGGTATGATACATATAGGTGTTGTCAACTGCTACTTCTTGCTGACTTTGCTTTTGTCCTAATCATGTTGTATTAGATCAGTAATTAAGTTGGTTTGTATTTGTAACTTGAGTTTGCTTAAATGCTTATTGTTGCATGTATCTTAGTGAGCTGAATTGATAAATTTAAAAGAACATGGGTGATTTAGGAATTGCTCATTATTCTTAAAATTGTAGCATAATTTGTTTTATTTATTAAGCAAAAACATTCAAGTATTATACATTTTGATTTAAAAAATCATTTTCAATTATTTTTCCATTGTTCACGTATCTGTTTCACAGAAACTCAAAGAATATGACAGTTGTTGTTTATAATAATTTCTGTCATTTTAGCAACCTGTACATCTAGTAGCATTTTGTGTGGTTAATTCTGTGTATTCAAGACATCACTGCAATCATAGTGTTTATTAGTATTACTTGGAGGATCCAGGTTTATTTCATGTTGCCATTACACGTGCATTTGATTTGAAAGTTGTTTTTTTTTTAGGTGATTTAAATCTCTATTATCACTTAATGCACTTGTACCATTCTGCTGTTTAAGTTAGTTTGTCAATAATCATAAAATTAGTAGAACCAAGGATGTACTTACAAGTTGATCTGTCAGGGTTTTGTAGCATTTTCTCATGTACAGAGGGAGTTATAATCACTTAAAGAAAGAATTTCTTCACAATTTAAGAAATCCGTTGCTAGATATAATTTTCATGTCGTATGATGTTCCAAACTGTCTTATAAATTCTCAAGATTCTAATTTTAAAATCAAACCAAAGGTTCTCATTTAATGAACTAATTAAACTCGAGGATCATAGTTTCCTTTCATACAAAGGTTTTGTGTATATAAATATTAATTGTTCTTGCAGTAAAATAAACCCAGGCAGTTTTACCTTTGAACTTTCACTACATTTTAAGTTAACTAGGCTGTTTAAGGTTGTTTTTTTTATTGTGCATTGATAAGTTTTGTATATATTTGTACAAAATGAAAAAATTATTCTAATAATGGTTTCTCATGTGTAGGTTGTTTGAAGTTAAAAACAGATAGTTTCTTCAAATTTATAGTGCATGTTTTAAAGCAAGCTCATTTGTTAACACCTTATTTCAAGTGATGGAGCTGAGCACTTAAAGTGCTTATATTTGAATAATTTTCAACTAGAGTAACTAAATACTGGATGGAAAAAATAAATTCTTCTGTATTCTTTCATAATGTTGAGGAATATCAAGTATATTCATGTTGCATAAAACTCTGGGTTATTCCCAGTAAATTCTATATTTAAGTGCTTTACTTGGTTGTAAAAATATTTTTACCAGTGCCTATTATTGGCATTTTTATGTTTTATCGATGTTATTTCAGTTTTATGTTTTGTTACATATGAAGTATTTAGGTCAAGAAGCAAACATTGATTCTGTTATTCAATTTATATTTAATTTTGATCTCATAGATGAAAGAATTTGTTAAGGAAATTATGCACCATTGCATCATTCTAGTGTTAGATTAAGAACCAGTACAAAGAAAAAGGGGGGGATTATAAAGTTTTTTTGTAAGATATAATATTAGTTTTCACTGTTGAGTAAGTGACTCAGTTTATACAACAACATATATATATTTGTAATTGACCAATTCAGTTTTGTAAATATTAGAATAATTTAATACAAATAAAGGAACAGAGTTCATACACTTCCATAATAACAAGTGACTTAAAAAGCATCCAACAAAACAGTTCTAACAACACAGTTATAATAAGGGACTTATATCTGAGTACAGTTGAATTTAAAGATAATTTCATATCTATAGTTGCTTTACATCTGGTATCCCTCTGTGTTTACTATAATTAATCAATTAGAAGATTCTTTTTCTGTAAAAATCATTTTGAACTACAAACTTAATAGAAAAACATTTCTATTCTGGTTAAAATAAAACTTTAATCACTGAGAATTTTTTATAACAATTTTTTTTCATGATATTTTACAGTTTTACTGGTCTTTTTTGAGAAACAGAATGGTGCTTTGAATTCTACAAAATTTCTTAGAACAGCTAGTTCTCATCACTTAAGTCAATTTCTGTACATTCCATAGTAGCACAGGTGTGTAAAAGATCACAAGTCATCTCTTACTTGGGTTAAACAAGTCTGTACAGTTACCTATGAGTAAAGGAAACCGTAATACTTCTTCATGCGAGTGTAGACCATGGAAGTAACAAATATGATTGTAACTGTTCTGTAGAATTTTGTAAAATAGTGTATCTTAGCAATGAGATTCAGTTATAAGTATCGAGGCATTATTAGGTGTCAATTGGGAAAAGTTGTTCCTAGGTACTCAGTTAAACCTTGTGGTTGTTTCAACCTCACATCTTCAAGTGTGTACTTAAGAGACACAGATACCTAGTCATTGATATATAGGGTTGCCTTTTAGAAAAACATGAGATACCTAATTATTTTTAATAAACAATTTAATATCTTCACATTTTTTGGGGAGTACATTTTGAAAGCAAAAAAAATGTTTATAAAATATTTTCAACATACTTTATGGTATTTGTATTATACAAGGCTTACTAGCAACAGTGTTTTCAGAAAGAATGCATTTTATTTTCAGGTTCATAATTTATAAATTTTCATTTTGAATTATTAGTTGGCTTTATATCAGTTTCTGATGTTTCAACAACCAGATAACATAATAGAAAGAACTTTAACAGGCCTGATTTAAGATGGTTATTAATTTATCTGTCTTTTATATACCTAATGTCCAAGCTAGATTTTTCACTTTTATTTTGAAATGATTAAATTATATTTCAGAATGAGATGTCATTTTTCTGTCTAATATTGTAGTATTATCCCTCTGTTAGACACATAATGTTATTGTAAGTCAAATTATTTTTATGTTTGTAAGACTAGAATATCTTTGGTGATGATCTCCTACAAGCCTTAGCGTTTTAAGTTGTCTGTGTATTTTTTTTTCAATGGTAGGAATCTATATAACTGTGAAGTACAGCAGTTAATTTCATTATATATTTATTTTTAAAAGAAAATATTGTTTTGGGTTTTTACAATTAAACTTATGAAGCCTCTCTCATAATACAACTTTGAACCTCATTATTTATAAATGTATAATTGGAGTGGTCTAAAAGTACCAGTATTGGTTAAAACCAGTTTTCTTATCATTATGTTTGATATAATAAAAACTGTGTATTTAAAGTGTTGGAATTAACTTCACTGTTTGTGTCATGCACTGTGTGTGGAGTTTTATCATGCATAGGACAGAAATACTTAAATTAGAAATTGAGTTTCCTCAAATTTGTGGAAGATAAAATGTAAAAAATATATAATGAGTTGTTTTTATTGTTGCATTTAATTGCTTTAATCTGAGCTTGCATATCATAATTTTTCTAGTGATTTGATTATGTGAATGTGTAAAAATTCCTGATTTATTTCATTGAACACTGTGATTAAACAAAAGGATAAAATCCTCACCCTGAATCCAAAATTTTGAGAAGTGCTATTTCATAAACTGAAATTCACCCTCTAATGATACTATAAATTACTAAGTGTCCTCATCCATGGAAAGATCACTTTTTAATTGTTAAGAACTTTAATAAGGAATTTGTTCATGATGTTCAAAAGTTTCAGTGATGAACAAAAACAAATGTAAAAAATGAAGAATTATCTTTAGAAAATGTGTTGATGAATAGTAATTTGTTATAAATACTGTAATAAAATCAATCTGAAAATGTTAAGCCAAAGAGAAAAAGAACCATCTATTTTTATATTTCCAATTGTATTATTTGTGTAAAGATTTCTGAATATTCAGATCAATATCTTTTTTTCTTTGAGAACTAACTATGTTACTAAAATTTAGAAAACATTGCAAGTATCATTGTAATATGGTCAATTTAATGTTGTATCTCAATCACGTTTTTCTTTACATTTAATTTTGTTTTTAAGTTAATTTTTCAATGCCAAGGTCCATGATTTGTAAATGTTTCACAGAAAACTTTAATTATGGTACTATAGGAACATGTTAGATAAATGTTAACAAGTAATACAATACAATAATAATAATACAAGTAATAGTTTAAATTCGATGACGAGGGACCCACTTTGAGACTAATAATGCTTGGAGGTGGCTTGAATGGGTAATGAAGAAAAACTTTAATATAAGTTTAATATAACAGCAAATGTACAACTTTAACTATGATAAGTAAACCTTTTCGAAATGTTGTACATTTGCTGCTATGTTAAACTTATATTAAAGTTTTTCTTAATTACCCATTCAAGCCACCTCCAAGCATTATTAGTCTCAAAGTGGGTCCCTCGTCATCGAATTTAAACTATTA